AATTCTTGGGTAGCTTTGGGTGTAGGTCATTTTGATAAGGACCTGCCTTGTGTGGGCCAGTAGACCTGCAGTATTCTTCCATTGTTATGTTCTTATTGGCTATTTGTTTGTGTGAGGGAGGGATGGCAAGTTTATTGTTGGAGAATATGACACTAATATCAACTCTATGGCATATTTATCTATCACAATTCAACTAATATGACATAAACATTATTAGTAACATAGAAACATGGAATATACTCTAGAATGAATAAAGTAAGTCATTTCGTATGTCACGAGAGGTGTTGTGTTGTGTTGTTGTTGGGTATATAAGGGCCACTGAGTGTAAGCCGTCCATAATGGTGGTGAAGCAGCAGCTGAGTCGGCGGTGGTTTTTGTAGCCCTATATAACTCCAACAACATTGGAGGAGTTGGTAGAATCACTGAATCACTAAAGAAGGAACCCACTACCACCATCACTATGACCTTCTACCACTATTACAACTGTTACCACCATCACTACTACCTTCTACCATGATCACTACTACCTTCTACCACCATCACTACCACCAAAGAAAGCTTCTAGTGCCAGCCCTTTGGTAAAGAATGTGAGAAACACATAATTTATGAAAAAGTTTGTAGAAAAATACAAAGATGGTGGTGGTAGAGTGGAAGCAGTTGTGATAGTGGTTGATGAACATAAGAACATAAGAAAGGAGGATCACTGCAGCAGGCCTGTTGGCCCATGCTCGGCAGGTCCTTTACAATTCATCCCACTAACGAAACATTTTCCCAACCCAGTCCTCAATGCTACCCAAGAAATAAGCTCTGATAACTCTATCCACTCATTTGGGACTTGCAAATGAGTGGATAGAATTATCAGAGCTTATTTCTTGGGTAGCATTGAGGACTGGGTTCGGAAAATGTTTCGTTAGTGGGACGAATTGTAAAGGACCTGCCGAGCATGGGCCAACAGGCCTGCTGCAGTGATCCTTCTTTCTTATGTTCATTAACCACTATCACAACTGCTTCCACTCTACCACCACCATCTTTGTATTTTTCTACAAACTTTTTCATAAATTATGTGTTTCTCACATTCTTTACCAAAGGGCTGGCACTAGAAGCTTTATTTGGAGCCATGGTAGCTTATTTAGCACTTGCAAGCACTAAAATCAATGGAATATTATGAAATATTTCGTAGGAGCATGTGAGGGGACCGTCACTCACTGGTAAACAATGGCACACTGGCTGGGAAGGAAAGGCCGAGGTGGCTCAGAGCGTGAGTACACGTCCGGGACGAAGGACTATTAGTGAGTTACCGGACCATTTGCAAGCCAATATTTTGACGAAAAAACAGGACTACATGTATTTCTGAAATGGACGGCTTTCAGGCCGGACAATTATTGAGGGACCACTGTACTTTTCATTGTAAAATCAGTCAAAATCATCATAATTTCTGTAATATTCTTCCTTTCTATAGAATGAGACCAAGAAAACTAGAATACAACAACAAATACCATACGAAAATACAGTGCAAACTCGCTGTTTTAATCCAAAAACACGGTCAAAGTTTTTTTTTTCTCTCATTGCGCACTGTGTGCTGCAGGATTTTTATTATACTGTGCACACTGACCACATAGACCCATTCTTTCATATGTAGGCCTACGAGCTTTCTCTCACTAGATTTGACAGCACTAGAATTTAGGTGTACTAGTACGTCAAAAACTCTGATGCCGAAACCCTGAAAAGGTTAACCCTTAAACTGTCCAAATGTGGATCTATGTTCACGTGCATAGCACTCCGACTTTTATTTTCCCCATTTGAAAGCATGTAAAAAAAAAAAACGTAGATCTACGTTCAGAGTGCTACACACATGAACGTAGATCTACGTTTGGACAGTTTAAGGGTTAATCACTTAACTTACTTGTTACACTGTTAATGCTACACTGTATGACTGGCGGGTACTATAGCCTTTATCGACTCATTCTGCTTTAGTATTGTACATATTGTAGAATCACTGAATCACTGAAGAAGGCACATTCTCCCCTCTCTCTTCCTCCTCCACTTTGGTACTTTGCTACGATTTCTTTCTTTAATTCTATCATGTTTCTCACCTTCTTTACTAAAGGGCTGGCACTAGGAGCTTTTTTTTGGCCCTTGGAGGCTTATTTAGCAGTTGCAAGCACAAAAAACAATGAATTATTATGAAATTTATCATATTAACGCATGGGGTGATGGTCACTCACTGAGAAACAATGCCGCACTGACTCTGAATGGTGTGTGTGGGAGCCTTTGTGTGTGCGCAGCCGCTGAGAGGCTGCTCGGACGCATTTCTTACAACCTCCCAATTTTGAGGCAAATCATGAAACGCGAGGCTATATTTTTACGAAAAAAGTTGCCAAAAGTCAAAATTCACGAAGCACGAGGCTCATGAAACTCTGGGGTTCACTGTATATTGGCAACATTTCTGCAAGCCGCAGGACTCCATGTGTCAGTATAGCTACTGAATTCTCATGTATATGCTTGTGTAGTATATTGTAGATCGTATCATCCATATACAGTGGACCCCGAGTTTTGTGATTAATCTGTTCCAAAGAGTCTGCTGAATGATGAAATTGCCGAATGGCAAAGCCATTTTCCCCTTAATAAATAATGGATATAAAATTAATCCATTCAAGACACCCAAAAATATTAAAAAAATATACAGTGGACCCCGGCATTCGATGGCATCGGTATACGTTAAATCCGGTATACGATGCATTTTAACGCAAAAGTTTTACCTCGCCACTCGTTAAAAAACCTGCCACATGCAATTCGTCCAGGATGCGTCCACATGTGGCCTGAACTGCCCCGTGCGTGCCAGTGTTTACAAGCCAGCCAGTGTGCTCGCATCTAAGCATACATTCGGTACATTCCATATTATCACAGTGTTTTTGGTGCTTGTTTTTGCAAAATAAGTCACCATGGGTCCCAAGAAAGCTTCTAGTGCCAACGCTGTGGGAAAAAGGGTGCTAATTACTATGGAAATGAAGAAAGAGATAATTGCAAAGTACAAAAGTGGAATGTGTGTGTCGGAGCTGGCCAGGTTCTATACAAAATCAACCATCACTACTATAGTGGCCAGGAAAACGGCAATCAAGGAAGCTGTTCTTGCAAAAGGTGCATGTCTGTTTTCGAAACAGATTGCAAGTGTTAGAAGATGTTGAGAGACTGTTATTGGTGTGGATAAATGAAAAACAAATAGAAGGAGATAGCATCTCTCAAGCGATCATATGTGAAAAGGCTAGGAAGTTGCATGAGGATCTTCATTAAAGGTAAGTGTCTCAGCATGGTTTTACAAAGGGGCGTTCCTGCCTTATGAATTTATTAACTTTTTTCACTAAGGTATTTGAGGAGGTAGATCATGGTAATGAATATGATATTGTGTATATGGACTTCAGTAAGGCTTTTGACAGGGTCCCACATCAGAGACTATTGAGGAAAATTGAAGCACATGGAATAGGAGGAGAAATTTTTTCCTGGATAGAGGCATGGTTGACAAATAGGCAGCAGAGAGTTTGCATAAATGGGGAGAAATCAGAGTGGGGAAGCGTCACGAGCGGTGTTCCACAGGGGTCAGTGTTGGGCCCCCTGCTGTTCACAATCTACATAAACGACATAGATGAGGGCATAAAGAGCGACATCGGCAAGTTTGCCGATGACACCAAAATAGGCCGTCGAATTCATTCTGACGAGGACATTCGAGCACTCCAGGAAGATTTGAATAGACTGATGCAGTGGTCGGAGAAGTGGCAGATGCAGTTTAATATAGACAAATGCAAAGTTCTAAATGTTGGACAGGACAATAACCATGCCACATATAAACTAAATAATGTAGATCTTAATATTACGGATTGCGAAAAAGATTTAGGAGTTCTGGTTAGCAGTAATCTGAAACCAAGACAACAGTGCATAAGTGTTCGCAATAAAGCTAATAGAATCCTTGGCTTCATATCAAGAAGCATAAATAATAGGAGTCCTCAGGTTGTTCTTCAAATCTATACATCCTTGGTTAGGCCTCATTTAGATTATGCTGCACAGTTTTGGTCACCGTATTACAGAATGGATATAAATTCTCTGGAAAATGTACAAAGGAGGATGACAAAGATGATCCCATGTATCAGAAACCTTCCCTATGAGGATAGACTAAGGGCCCTGAAACTGCACTCTCTAGAAAGACGTAGAATTAGGGGGGATATGATTGAGGTGTATAAGTGGAAGACAGGAATAAATAAAGGGGATGTAAATAGTGTGCTGAAAATATCTAGCCTAGACAGGACTCGCAGCAATGGTTTTAAGTTGGAAAAATTCAGATTCAGGAAGGATATAGGAAAGTACTGGTTTGGTAATAGAGTTGTGGATGAGTGGAACAAACTCCCAAGTACCGTTATAGAGGCCAGAACGTTGTGTAGCTTTAAAAATAGGTTGGATAAATACATGAGTAGATGTGGGTGGGTGTGAGTTAGACCTGATAGCTTGTGCTAACAGGTCGGTTGCCGTGTTCCTCCCTTAAGTCAATGTGACCTGACCTGACTAGGTTGGGTGCATTGGCTTAAGCCGGTAGGAGACTTGGACCTGCCTCGCATGGGCCAGTAGGCCTTCTGCAGTGTTCCTTCGTTCTTATGTTCTTATGTTCTTATGTATTCTATTGTTAGTAGAGTACTACTAACTGTGCATGTCTTCTTCAGTTTGTGTGCATTAAACTTAATATTTCATGTGGTAAAACTTTTTTTTTCATAGTACTTTTGGGTGTCTTGCACGGATTAATTTGATTTCCATTATTTCTTATGGGGAAAATTAATTCGCCTTAGGATAAATTTGGCATACAATGAGCTCTCAGGAACGGATTAATATCGTATACCAGGGGTTCACTGTATATTTTTTCAAATTGAATAAAGATTTAAATATAGAAATCAATGAGAAATCAAGTACATACATATATAAAATAATAATAACATTACATTTACCTTTACTGAAGACTTCTGGGTGGATGGAAGATGGAAGTAGGAGTCCCACAAGAAAGCGTCCTTGGACCACTCTTCTTTCTCATCTACATCAGTGATCTACCGAATGCATCACAGCTACTCAAACCCATATTATTTGCAGATGACACTACATATGTCTTTTCCCACCCAAACACAGTCATACTAGCAAACACAGTCAATGCTAAATTGCAGAAAATATCTGCCTGGATGATGACTAACAAACTTACCCTCAACACTGATAAAACCTGTTTCATTCAGTTTGGAAACAAAGCTGTAAATGATCCAATTAACATAACGCTAAATGGATCATCAGTCACAAGACTCACAGAGGGAAAATTCCTAGGTATCCACCATGACAGTAGCCTTAAGTTCCAGAGACACATACAACAAATCACCAAGAAAATCTCCAAGACTGTAGGCATACTATCAAAGATAAGGTACTACGTTCCACAATAAGCTCTCCTGGCACTGTACCATTCACTCATATACCCTTATCTTACATATGGAATTTGTGCATGGGGATCAACAACATCAGAACAGAACAGAGGACTCACAGGTAAGAGCCCACTAGGGGCGAGGGGCAAGTGGGGACAGGATGAAGAAGATAGTTGGGGAGAGGAAAAAATCTTAAGAAGGAAGAAAAGTGTCAGGACTATACCTAACTGCTAATCAATGAAAACACAATATTCAGCAGTATCACTCTCGTGAGCATATCAATTTGCAATGACTGGACATGGCACAGGCACTGGTTACTGTAAAAAGGCGATGCAAACGCACGTCGCAAGCACTTCAGCTCAAAACGCACAGACACAGCTCTATGACAATGGTACTTTTAAGATGGTGGAATAGTTAGGCTAATTAAGCCAGGTGGTTTATTTGTATTGAGGTGGAGGTGCCGGGTCGTACAACGTTTGAAAGAGATTTACATCATTGTAAAGATGTCTGAGAGTATCTGGTCATGATATGCTTCAAGTCTGTCAAGTTGTTTGTCACTGAGTGTCTTCCAGTATACGTTCAAAGCTGGTGTGTTTGTTGTGAGGTGGAGAGATTCACTGGTGGCAAACTCGTCCCACCTCACTCCCAACACCCAACGTAATGCTTGATTCTGGATGCGTTGGAATTTTAGTGCGTTTGTCTTAGCGGTTAACGTCAGAGCGAGTGGAGAGTAAGAGAGTAGAGGTCGAATGAGTGCTTTGTATAGATGTAGTTTTGTCTTAGGACTGGCTCCTCTCAGCTTATATAACCTCAAGAGCACAATTCCTGCCTGTGCAGTCTTAGCAGTAATGCGAGATTTTAGGTTCAGTGTGTTGTCGAGGGTAACACCAAGGACAACTGTTGAGAAGGAGCGTGGGATGGGGGTACGGGAGGTGCTTGTTTTGAGTTCGACAGGAGTCGGGACATCGCGCCTTCAATGGAAGTAAGTGATCTTTGACTTATTTGGGTTGGTTTTTATGCGCCATAATAATTCCCAGGCGGTAATCCTGCGTGCAAGGAAACGAATGTTTTCATGTGCTGTGAGTTGAGCGATGTCGTCTGCGTAAGAAAGGGTAAGTGTGTTTGGGTAAAGAGGTTCAGGTAAATCATTTGTGTAGAGTATATATAGGGTGGGAGATAGGACAGAACCTTGGGGTACACCCGCTTTTAATGTGAAATACAGTGGACCTCCGGTTTACGATATTATTTCATTCCAGAAGTATGTTCAGGTGCCAGTACTGACCGAATTTGTTCCCATAAGGAATATTGTGAATTAGATTAGTCCATTACAGACCCCCAAACATACACATACAAACGTGCTTGCATAAATACACTTACATAATTGGTCGCATTGGAAGCTGATCGTAAACCGGGGGTCCACTGTAGTCAGAATAATAATCTCTGAACTGTATACGCTTCGTTCGGCCATCTAAAAAGTGACATAATAATTTCGTCATATTTACTGTTAATTCAAAGGACGTGCAAAGTTTATATTTTAATCCTTCATGCCAAACAGTGTCAAAAGCTTTCTCTACATCTTTGGCGACAAGGGTGGAGGTACAGTTCTGGGCCTTATTGATACGTACATAATTCAGGATTATATTCAAAACGTCTTGGGTAGGACGTTGTTGTCGGAAACCGAATTGTCTTTCAGTAAGCAAGTTATTTGTCTCTAGGCGAGTCCTGAGTCGCATGTTTACAAGTCGTTCAAAGGTCTTACCCCAAAATTTCAAGAAGGCTAATAGGTCTATAGTTCTTGGGGTCAGTCAAGTCTTTTCCAGGTTTTGGTATGAGGCATGCAGTAGCAGATTTAAAGAATGGAGGGAAATAGCCAGATGCAAGAGAGGCATTAAAGATGTCAGTGATAGCGGAAACAACAGAAAGTGGAAGGTGACGAAGGACAAAATGTGATAGACCTGAAGCTCCTGGGGCTTTTTTTGGAAGGTGTGCTAGTAGAGAATGAACATCAGCTACAGAAAAAGGAGAGTTTAGAGGATGTGTGGAGGATAGTGTGTTTAGGTTTATGATTGGATCAGGATTGGTTAAGTCGTCATGATTAGATACCCATCGCTCTATGTCTAATGTATGTGCTATGACAGCTTGGTCTGGTGGATGTGGGTGGAAGATGTGTTCCCATATGTCTTTGAAAATATGTACAGCTTCAGCAGGGTCAGATCTGTCTGTTGTTGTGATTAATGTGTCTGAAGCTTGTGGATGGAGGGGCGCCTGTAAGTCTCCGAATGGGTGACCAGAATGCCTTGGGATCTCTTGTTCGCTGGACATCTGTTGTGTTTATGTTTGATTGCCAATGTCAGGCATGGTCATCATCTAGGGTATGGATGATATGTGTACGTAAGATAGTTAGGTCCCATTGGATGGTATTTAGTCTGTTTTGGTTTGCTAGGAAACAATGTCTGTAACAGGTGAGCAGTCTTTTTGTTCTTTCTGAAGGGCGGAAAGAGTAACGTACTTTGTGGTGTGTCATGGGAACAGCCTCTGCAGCGGCTTGGGTAATTGATTGTTGAATGCGTTGAATTTGTGTGTCTATGTCTGATACTGGCCTGTTGTCATAGTTGTGTGTGAGATCAAGAGTGTTTAGGCATTATTTGAACAGATCCCAATCCGCCTGAGAGTAAGCTGGAGAGGGGCGAACTGGAATGAGTATAGGATTTGAGGAAATATGAAAAATGATAGGAATGTGGTCAGATCCAGAGAGCAGTCCTGGTGTTGTGTAGTGATGTAAGCGATTACTAGCTCTGTCTGTAAAAATTTTATCAGGGGTGCCTTGGCCATTGTGTGTATAGACTGTTGGGAAGTAAGGTCCGAGGTGTATGAGATGTTTCTGTGTTACAAGTGTATGAAGTTGCCTTCCATGCAAATTTGTGGAGTTGTCATGGAAGTCAGTGTGTTTGGCATTGAGGTCGGCAAGTAGGTATACAGGGAGATGTGTGCGATTAAAAAGAATGGTTAAATCATGAATGTTAATGTTTTGGTTGGGTCTGGTATATGTCGTGTAGAGGATGATGGGTCCATGTATCGTGTAAATTTTCACTGCCATGCTGTGAGAATATGTAAATGGAAGGGATAAGAACTCATGTTTAATGGTGCCTTTGACAAGAATAGCTACGCCATTCCAGTTTTCGGCAGGGGATTGACGGGCTGTATATCCTAAGTGTCTGACACGTTGATCATCACGCACACATGTGCTGTTTAATAACAACACGTCTGGTTGTTCAGATTCAACGAGGTCAGCAAGAATATGTTTGTTCGCATTATAAGCTTGTATGTTAAACTGAATAACCTTAAGGGCCATGGTTGGGTTTACCTGAATTTGGGGGATACAAATCATTCATATATTTTTCTGGATAACCCATCATAGTTGTACCGTCACCTGATCTGTTCTTAACTGGGTGTAAGGTATTCCGACGGTTTTTGGAGTCAGCACGGGGAGGGGAGGATGATGGGGGGCGGGAGGAGGAGTTGGAACGTGATGATGAGGTAGGACGAGAGGATGAGGTGAGGCTAGAGGAAGGGTTAGAGAGAGAGGAAGAGGTTGGGGTTTGGTTTTGGTTTAACATATTATTAACTTTTTCCAAGTGCTTGTTGAAGTTAGGTGAATTTGTATAATTTGGTTTTTGGCAAGGTGAACGAGACTTGTGTGAAGGAGTAGGAGAACGAGAAGGGCGTGTTGTGGCAGAACAATGTTGAGATCGCCCGGTGCTTGAGCCTGAGCTAGTAGAAGGAGTCTGAAGAGTGGATTGAGGCAGGTGGGTAGGAGGAGAAGGATCTGCCTGAGAAGTAACATGAGGGGGTTCAGGAGAAGAGAGAGAGGTGATAGGGCAGAGTTCATCCTTGGGAAGAAAGAAATTAGGAGGGAAAATGATGGGGTCAAAATTGTTGGCTTTTAAAAGATCATTCAGCATCGTGGGATAGTTGGCACTTTTGAATGCTTTGTGACAGTAGACAGCAGTGAGCACAATGGTCTCAAGGACGTTAGATTGTTTGGAGGAAGAAGCCGAGGGATGGGGATCAACAACATCCAATCACCTATAACCCCTAATAACCCAGCAAAAGGCAGCAGTAAGAATGATAACAAATTCCCACTCCTGCCAGCATACTCCACCAATTTTCAAAAGTCTGAATCTGCTCACCATTAAGAGCATCCATACTTATTCATGTGCCTACTACATACACAGAACAATACACACAAATATAAACCCCCCACTCAAACTTCTCCTCACCAACCTAAACAGGACACAAGACCACAACACAAGACACAGATCTCTTTTTGATATACCTCGTGTCCATATCACACTGTGTAAAAACTCTATGCACATAAAGGGCCCCAAAATATGGAATTCATTACCAGAAGATATTAAAGTAACCCAGTCTGAAAATCAATTTAAGACTCTTCTCAAAAGCCACTTAATCACCCTAGACTAAATGCTAAATACTCGGTACACACTTACTCACCTATGTACTCCCACATCATAACTGAAACAATCACATTGAACCTTTTATCCATTGTTGACAGGAATATAATTGAATCATTGTTTTCACAAAAGCATTTTAGAATATAAATATAACTTTGTATTATACAAATTTTGATTCATTTATAATTAATATTCTACTGTACAACCATGAAATAATTTCTATTCTACTGTACAACTATGATATACTCCTTAGTATTAAGTAGACTGTAAGCCAATAATGTTAAGTTGGCCCATAATGCCTAGGCAAAATAGAGGCTCTCTTTGCATTGCAGCCCACTATTGTAAATACAAAATCTCAGTGTACTGTTTGCAAAGACATAAAATAAATAAATAAATAGGAGGAAGGGGAATCCCCTTCCATAAAGACTTCAGGTACCAAGTCCTTATCTTGGGTTACTTCCCTTCTTTGTCTTTTAATGACACTGGGAACAACTTGAGTCACTGGACCCCTGTCGCACAAAATATCTGTC